CACCAGTGCAGAATACTCCTTCTTTGAGATGAATCCAGGCTTCCATCCCTTAAGGTTTTTCTTTTCTGACACAGGTTCCCTGCAAAGACAAGGGGGCTGCTGTGCCCTTTTGCTGCCTTTCCTCCAAGATGGGATAGACATCTCTTGTGCTTCCAGGATCACACCCTTGAGGAGATCATCCTGAACTCCCCTCCCCTTCAGGTTGTGGTCCCTTAGGGCTTCACCAACAAGCTTCTTGTTTTTGTCAAAGTCAGCTTTCCTGAAGTTGAGGATTTCTGCATTGCTGACTGACTTGCCAGCTTTACAGTGGATGGTTAAGATGATCAGCTCATGGTCACTGTCGCCCAGCTTCCTTTCAATCATTAGGTCACTGATTAAGTTATCCCCCATTGCCAGTAACAGGTCGAGCAGTGCTTTGCCTCTCATTGGTCCATAGACTTCTTCAGTCAGGTAGAGCTCATCCACGCACAAGAGGAAACATTGCAAACATTCAGATATGGCTGAGTGTTCTTCCCATGAGATGTCTGGGTAGTTGAAGTCTCCCATGGCAACCATGCACTGGGAGCATGCAGCATCAGCCAGTTCCTTGGTGAATTCCTGGTCGAGCTCTTGATCCTGGCTAGGAGGTCTGTAGTAGACTCCTACCATGGTGTCCCCGGTGCCACATTCCCCATGTATTTTAACCCAGAGGGACTCCAGTTGTCTTTCCTGGGTGCCAATGTCAATTTTCAGGGACATGTAGCTTTTCTTGAAATAGAGAGCTACACCCTCGCCCCTTTTTTCTACACAGTCTCTCCTGTACAAGGTATAGATGTCTATACTTGTGGCCCAGTCCTATGCGGAGTCCCACCAAATCTCTGTTTCCCCTATGAGATCATAGTTTTTCTTGTTGAGCAGGAGGGCCAGTTCCTCCTGTTTATTCCTCAAGTTCTGGGCATTGGTGTACATGTAAGTGTCCTATTTGGGGCCCTTGTCTGCCCTACACATCGTTCTGGGACTGGGGTAGGGATGGGTTCCCTTGAGTGCCTTAGGCTGCTGGATTTGCAAAAGTTACCCAGTGGGCTAGTTGAGGCAGTAGTCCCCCCATCCCCCAGCAGGCTTAGTTTAGCCCGGTCAAGCAGGTCAGCCAGTCTGGCTGAGAAGATCCTCCTCCCTAGTGCAGTGAGGTGGAGGCCGTCTCTTCCCAGCAGATCACTGCCTCTCTCAACAAAGAGCAGACTGTGATCATGGAAGCCAAAGCCTTCCCAATGCCACCAGTGCCACAGTCTTTGGTTAACTACCTTGATCCTCCTCTCCATCCTCAGCCCATGGCCTGAGACCAGGAGGATCGAGAAAAACACCTGTGCTCCCAACCCCTTAAGCCCCACTCCCAAAGCCTTATAGCATCTCATGACCTGGCTGGGATTGCTCTGAGCTGTCATTCATGCCCACATGGATAAGGAGCATAGGGTAGTGATCAGTGAGCCGGTGAGTTTTGGGATCCTCTCAGCTACATCCTGGATATGGGCTCCCAGGAAGCAGCAGACCTCCCAGGCTAAGGTGCAGGAGTGGCAGATTGCACCCTCAGTCCCCCTCAGGAGGGAATGTCACATGACAACCACTTTATGAGTGGCCTTAGGGAGAGCAGGGATGATATCTGTGGGTAAGCCTGAATTGCCTGCAGAAGCTGGCAACTCTGCAAACTCTACTGGGGCTGCAAGAGATTCATACCTGTTGCAAAGCTCCAGATGGGAGGGGACCCTGGTGCAGCAGGCCCTGGGGCTGTTGACCACCTTGGTCCAACCCCCTGGTTGGACAGTATAGGAGATTCTTGAGTCCTTCCTTGTTCTGGAAGGTGACCTTGGTCTACCCTCTGCCTCCATGGGGTGAAGGTCCTGGCAGTAGGAGTCTATCTCCTGCTTGCCATCCCTGATGGCATGCAGACTCTGGACTGTGGCCTGGAGCTCCTCTGTCTGGGGCCCCAGAGACTCCAAAGTGGAGCAAACCTCACAAGGGGAGATGGCCATGCTCTTGGTCCCATGTGCCTGGAAATGTGCCAGACAGCCCCTGCAGCCGAGATCCAGAGACTCAGTCTGTGTGCAGCCCAGAACCATGGGTTCTGTCTGGGTGGAGACCTCTGAGGTGCCAGAGGAGGAGGCAGGTCATTGGGCCCTCCTGTGCAAACTCCCACACTAAACTTGTGTACTGGGCCCAGAAGCACACCTATTTGCACTTCCTGTTTGTGCATCCTGTTTGCGCATCCTGTTTGCGCATCCTGTTCATGAGGTTCCAGTTGCATGGCTCCCTGGGGGGCTGGGCCAAGTAGGAGCTGGGGGGCATATGACCCTCCTCAGCTCCACTCAGCTGCCCCCCTGCAGCTGGGCTACATCCCTTCCACCATGGGCCCCTGCTTACTTTTGGGTAGGCCAAGGTTTATTGGGGGGTCCTGGCATCCACTTGGGAGATCCTGGGGGTCCCTGGGCTCATGGGGGCACAACGGGCTTCCTCTTGTGCATCTGTCACTGGACCTGGGGCCAGAATGCAGCTTCTGCCATTGCCATGCCCTTTTTAAACTGCGTGCATGCACAGAAGGGCCTGCTGGCACCGCACCGCTCTCGGGGGTTAGGGGGTCCCTCTCCACACCGAAGGAGGGGACAAGTAAGTGCCCCTCTTCCCTGTCTCATGCACTGGGTGGGTCTGGTCACATGGCTCCCTTGGATCTGTGGGGGTGGTGACCCTCCTTGGCTCCACTCAGCTACCTCTCCACAGCTGGGTTATGTCCCTCCCACCAAGGGCCCCTACTTACCACTGGGTACGCCAGATCTTGTTGTGGGTCCTGAGGGTCCCTGGGCTCATGGGGATGCAACAGTTTTCCACCAGGGCCTGAGTGATGGGTGCTCTTGATCCTGCCTAGCCAACGGCAAAGTAGTTAGGGCTCTCTTCTTAGAAGTGAAGGTTGTAGATTTAAATTCTCTCTGGTTAAGGGAGATGTAAAATTAGGGTCTCCTATTTCTTTTGTGAGTGCCCTCATGACTAGGTTATTGAACTAAAAGCAGAGAGGGTCTTTCTCTCTTCCGCCCAGCCAAGCTGATAGTTATGGTTTTTCTCTACATTTTCTATGGTAAAAGTTGCAGGGACTATGCATTTCCCTAGGTGCAATAGGATCACAAGAGTGCAGATCCTTGAAGAGTACATACAGAAGAGCAAATCTAGACATGCAAATGGGGTTAGGATTTTAAAAAATCCATCTGAGTGCCACTTACACATCTCAGTCCTAAAGACAGATTTGAATTGGGTCTATTCATTCTATAAATTTCTTTAAAAGTCAATAGGAAAAGAATGAATAACAGACTGGTGGTATTATAGAGACAGGACTAAGGCTGTGTAGAGGGTATTAACTAAGCATGTCCAAATCTTTTAAAATCTGGGTGTTACTATTTTTATATGTAATTTTAACGTTCAGTTTCCCATAATTTTCTACCACTATTCTGTACCATCCTGTAAAGGCATTCCCAAAAAATGTTTACTTTACATACACTAAGCCTTGCCCCAAGCTAATGAAGATGTTTTAGCTCTGAAAATCCTTTAGTGCCTTTTTTTATGTTTAAAGTACGTGAGTGATAGGGGAGCCTATGAATCTTACAAGCTGCAGAGAAATGAATGTCCCTCCTCAAACTTTCTTCTAACCTGAAATAGGTCTTTCTTTGTCCCAGCCCATGTAGCAAGCCACTTTTTCTAAACATTCCTTTCCCTTCTCCTTCCTTTACCAAATCAACATTTCTTCCTGTGCCGTTCCTATGTTGTTCCATGAATGCCATTCTAAATATGTCAGCTCTTTGCAACTGGACTGTGTTTATAAAGGTCCCTGGCAGGAAACACATAGTTTCTGAAGTTCCTGTTATGTAGGCTTTTTAGTACACATATTGACAAGAGATGAGAGCATGCAGAGTGATCTTGTGGGTTTTATCATACATGTGAAGACCAGAGTTATTTAAATAAGTCCACAACAGTCTGCTTCCAAACTGACAAAAGGCACCTTTCCTCAGTAAAGCCATAGAATAAAAACATCTGGACTTTCTGAACCAAATTAAACTGCACGGAACCAAAACTGCACCAAAACAATGCAGGGAAATCTTCTAAAAAGTGAAAAACAATTTCATTTATGTATTTCCAAAATATTTTGCTCAGTTTGCTCCATTTTGGTGAGGCTGAATTAAACTCTAAGGTTTTATTTTAATTGCTATATGTATTTAGTGGATTCCCAATGTATTTATATAGGAACTGATTCACCCCCATGTTACTACAAGTGGTTTCAAGTGACACTGTTGCAAGACCAGAAAACAGCAGTATTGAATCAAGCCCTTGTATATAATTTTCATCATTATTGTATCATGCCTCTGTAACTATTGCTATAATATGGAGCAGCTAGAAGGAAGTTAACACCTGGAAAGAGATTCAAAAAGCAAAGGGGAGTTAAAAGTGTATAATTGGCTACAACAGCAATACATGTTTAATTATAAATATCAGACTTGGACTCTTTGTTAATCAGCTATAGTATGCATATAGATATCCAGTATCACGGTCATGGTCTTTTAAAAGGAACCCGTACAGTGAGGAATTTTGTGTCTCAAAATCCAGTATCAATCACTAATTTGACTTGCTTCTGGATGTTTATTTCCCACATTATGCAGATGAGATGCAAAGCATCCACCTGATAATGGACCAGAGTTGGAAGAACTAACTCCTCTGATTGTGCATTCTGACTACTGAACCTCAGATATTGGAAAGAAAGAAGAAACTCTCTGCCTAATCATTTAACAAATGTGCATTCCACTCTGTTAATCTGTCAGCTTCTCATTCCAGAAGTAGCTCCCCCTTCAATTCCTCATCCTCCCTCTCCCATTCACGTGTACACACACATAGCTAAAAACTCTGTGAGTTATTGCACTGCATAGCTGAACTGTATTTCAACTCAAGTTAATTAAATCAATAGCAAGTCCTTGTGCTTTCCACTAGCAATATTGACTGGCATTGACTGACAGCAATGGCTTTATAAAACATCACAGCAGTGGCTTCATGTGGCAAGTGATGCTTTTTTCTTCTTCTTCATCACACAGTTGTTGACACTTTGCCTATATGTGGTAGGTGACAGTGATTCAGCCAGGGCAACAGCAGTGGTGAGTAATTGGAAAACAGGCAGGCATTGTCTGTGACTGAAAGCCCCTGGTGAGAGCAGTGGTATGTAAACAGACCTGCTGCTGCTAACCTGTTGGAACAATGTAACTTTACTGATAAGAATACAATGATATTTCTTAAACCTCCTAGTTAAATGACTGTTAAAAAAAATATGGCTAGATGCAAGGACACTGTAATTATGTCGCTTCCTTTTTTATTTGAAGAACTCGTTATAGACAATTTGTAAGTGTCAGGCTGTAGGTTCATCATTATGCAGATTTCTGTATATAGGAACATTTTTATATAGATACATGCATGCATATATATATGTGTGTATATATATATATAGTCAGAAATTCCCATTTCATGGTAAAATAAAAGACAGATTTTAGCAATGAGTTACAATAGTGATTTTCTTTAGTCTTAAAATGTATACCTAATTCTAAATGTTTCTTCAAATTCAATGGCTAATACAAAAACAAATAAATAAACATAAACATGTATGCCATTCAGGAATAATTATGTTTAGGTACTCTAACATGTTACTAATTTCTTTAATTTCCTGTAATATACTTATACCACATGCTCTTGAGGCTACCGAACATAACATACCAAAAAGAGATCTGTCAGAGTTTAGGAATTGTTCCAAATATTCACTGAGTTCACTGACCTATCACTGAAAATGGTCAGTACTAGATGTGTCAAGGGAATGAGCAAGAACACTGAAATGCTATAAGCAATAGCAAGAGTAGCTAGAGAGAGATCTATTTTCTGGAATATGAAGATTTCTATCTTTCCCAAATCTCTTGTTTTCATTCTATTTTATTTTAATATTTGCTATAAAAATGCATGCTGTGGGGTCGGTCCATGGGCTAGATTGAGCCTGTGGGCCCATATTGCGCCCATGGTCACACCCATGCATTCCAGTTTGGGTCTACCACCCCAGCCTCAGCCCTGGGTTCATGCATGCCAGAGCAAGCTTTTCACCCCAGCCTCAGCCTTGCACATGCCAGATCAGGGTTGGGCCCTAGTCCCAACCTAGGGACCTCTGCCCTAGCCCCAGCACCATTTCAGGACCACTACTCCAGCCCTTGCCCTGGCCTTGACTTAGTGTGCTCTGGATCAAGCCCTCCACTCCAGCCCTGCACACACTGTATTAGACCTGCTGCCAAGCCCCCAACCCCATGCATACTGGATCAGGCCCACCACCCCCAGCCCTGTGTGCACTGAATTAGGCCTGCAGCTAGATCCCATTAATGGGGGCATGTAATCTGTCCTGTATGCCTTGCAAGTTTTTTAGTGGGGAAGCGGTGGTACTGTTAAATGCCACCCGTCCCCTGCCACCAAATGTTCAGACCTTGGAGTCCCACAGGTCAGATCACATGTCTCCGCAGGCCAGAGCTGACCTTTGGTTCAGGGTTGAACACCCCTGGGCTAAGGGAACATACACTGTTCTTCAATGTTAAAAAAAAAATCTGATGACTTTTACTTTTACTTTGGCAAGTGTCAACATCCTCATGTTTTTTAAATGAGATGTGAAATTTGTGAATGATGTATCCTCTATGCCAGGGATGTGGTTGTGAAAAAAGATGCATTTCAAAAGTCCTCCCCATGAAAATGCATGTATATTTGGTGAACTTACACACCTTTGAAAATCAGTCTTCACATACTCAGCAAGGACTCAGTAGAGTTTAACAATTCAGATATTAAAATATCCTGTCTTTCCTAAGTATATGTCGAATCCCCTTATACTGTGGTGTAATCCAGAAATGTGTGTACTTCCCTATAGAGCAATTTACATCTGTCCTCCAAACCAGGAGTACAAGGATGAAGGCAGATTCTTGTTTGTAAGGATTGTTCCTGGCTATTACAGACTGGGGTTGGACTGGACATTGGAACTTAGAGGAGGAAGCCCAAGTCTCCTGTTGTGTTAATGACCCTGCATGTGGCACCCAGGCAGCACAGATGAGCAATCCACCTGATTCAAATGCAAAGGGAAGAAGGGCAGACACTGCTAAGAATGACAAGGCAGAATAGATTGGGATCAAGAGTCTAGAGACTCAGACAGAGAATGCCTGTTGAAGAAGACAAGACTAGGTGGAGAAGCAGAAGAGAAAACAAAAAGAAGTCAAGGCGGTGTGTGGGGGATGAGAAAGAGCTGGGAATTACTTGGTTCAGCCCAGCAAGAAGACTGAACTGGGAAACAGTAGGGCAGTCTCCAATTTTTCACTAGCTTGACTATATAGTCATTTAAATAACAACAACAGCAACACTGGAGCTTGATTACTTACATTCATATTTTCCCAAATAAAATAAGCCAGCCGATGCATTTCATCTGCATTCCCGCAAAAATACCATTTTTGCAAAAAGGCAAAATGATAACGGACACCAAAGCATACTGAAAAAGTGACATTTTTGAGAATAAATGTACTACTTTCATGCAGCTCTGATCTGCCTATCAGTAATTGTGAAGGACACCACAGTTGGTATTAATCCAATTTTACTCAGAAGATTAAGTAGTTTGAAATATTCAGTGAGATGTAGTAAAAGCAGGCTATCGGTCACATTTTATTGGGCTTTTTTTAGGAAAGCACAGGCTGGAGGATTTAAGGATACAACAACAGCATTTGTGTGGGAAGTAGGTGTGTGAGTGGGGAGGGGAATCAAACACATAATAAAGGGTGTGTAAACATGCTCAACAGCGGACACGGGCAGGTGTTCCTGCGAACACTGAGCTCCCTGCCATTCTTATGCTCCTGTCCACTGGAGATCAGCCACAGGACCTGCAAGCAAGCTGCTTTATTCTGCTTCTCTTGGTACACTCCCTCAAACTCCTGAACATCAGAAGTCCAGAGGGAAGCCTGCTACTGTCCACAGGCCCCTGTAGTGATTTCCTATATTCCATCCTATAGCTTTCCACTTCCAATTCTGCTTGTATTTACTTCTGTCAGAGCATGTCAGAGGTTGGAGGTGAGCAGATTAAAAAAAAGGAAAAAGAAAACTCATTTCTCAAATATTAATCTCTTCTCATCTCCAGCTGCATGTAAGCTTTTGGAGGATTGTGTTCAGATAGGTGCAAGAGAAATGTGTACAGAAGATATACAGGAAAGAGGTAAGACACCCTCCTGACTTCTTTCTGCTTATGGCTTCACTGCAGTCATTGCAGTGTGATGTAGCTTAGACATATCTGAGCATTAACTGTATACAAGCCAGCTCAGGTACCAGCCCTAGCCTAGCTACACCAGCGGAGGACTCAGAACAGGTTAATTCAGCCTGCTTTCTGGGCATATTTTTTAGCGTGCAATAAGCTCTTTCTTGCTGCAGCTATAGTGCTACTGGAACCCAAGGTGGTTTACTAAAAGCTACTGTGCTATAAGATACACTGTGCTACAGTATAAACACACCCTTTGTAGGAGTGCTGGAGAGTCAAGTCAGACACCTTTCCTTTTGAAAGCAGTGATCCATTTGAAGTAAAACAGTGATGAATATGCTTTTAATTTTTTAAATCTCCTAACTTGTTCCATGAGCTAGTGAGATACTCTGCACCACTGCTGGGGAGCTGGCATCTTGTTCTTTCTGTGTGATCTTGCTTCCTTAATTGTGCTAAAAGTCCTTGTCACAGCTGAGGAGAGTGGGGAGAATACAAAAACTGTGTCGTTTGCCTAAAGTGCAGAAACATCTGGTTGAGTCATGAGTGGCTTGTTGGCTGAGTTCAGCAGGGGAGAAGCTGGCAATTAATCTGAAGTGTCACTAAATTTGATGGAAATTGTAACAGAGGGTTTCTTGGGACACAAAGGTAGCTTCAGCAGCCAAAGTTTGCATATGTTCCTTTTTTTTATTAAATTATAAAGGGTTTGCTGCAGTAAAATACAAAATGTTCCTCAGAAAAGCTCTAGTTGCTGAGTGTAACCATAAATGTTGACCCATTTTGTGGAGGTAGATGTGTCACTGGAGATATGGTGGTATCTGAAGAAGAATGAGATAGCTGCAAATGCATAGCCCTGGGAAAGGGCAGTTATTAGCCCACCTTCCTCAAAATATGCTCTGAGAGATTATAATGCACTATGCCTTGGGCTAAATTTGGCATTTGGATGCAAACTTCAAAGGCTAAATTTACATGTACACTTACAAGAGCCGAGTTTGCCCTTTATGTCCCTTCCTTCTCAATGATTTCATTTCATCTCTGCTAACCATCTGGAAATAACCTGGTATCCTATGAGAAGCTAGCACTCTCTAGAGAATCAGCAAATGCTCCACAGACTGAAGTCCGTATTCAACAAAACCTGATAAATATAATGAAATGCAGGATTAAATGAACAAATCTCTGCTATACTCTTTTCCATCGTCAGGTGCTGCAAGACACAAGTACCTTGATATCATTCCTTCTGGCACTGTACTGACCTGATCCAAAATCCATTGATCCCAGGGGAAGCCACTACATTGACCTACGTGTGTTTAGATCAGGCCCAAACAGTCCAAACTAGCCTAAGACCTGTATATATTTTTTTATCTGTGTTGAAATATCTGCACATTAAAACTACAGAATTTATTTTTCAAGTGTTCCAGATGCACTTCCTTTTGACCCAAATTTGTTAGTTACGATTTGGACAATCCCGATTATATCCCATTCTTAATTGATGGGACATGTATTGATGTGTGAGTCACTTGCGCTCCGTTTTTATCTTTCTGACAGGTGTTTAAATTATAGTGTCCCAGCTATAGAAAATAATTGTTTCATTTTGGTTGTTCTGCTGAGAGAGAAAATTCTTGCAGGCTATAATTCTCTCTGTCCAGTCACTTTGCATCACCTTTTCTCAAACAAAGTTGAAGTGGTAACCCACAAGGTATTTAACTTTTCTGAAATTTTTAGCTAGGTGAGAAAATAGTACAAATTCTGAATACCACCGAAAAAATATCACTTTTCCTTTTCCTACCACTTTTTTTCCCCTTTTTTCCCTTCTTTTATGTTTGTTGTATTAAATAATAGACCATCACAATTAGCACCATGCTTTAAAATGTTTCTGCAGCTTCACATTAAAAAGCAGACACACTTTTTATCGGTTCATTTTTATTCCCTTAACTATTTGTACCTTGGTTATTTGTAAGCTTTGCAAGTGGATATTAAATAAATGAACTACAATATTCCCACTAATAGCAACATATTTCACCATCTTCTAAGACATTTTCTGCCTACATATTAAAGCCCTGTAAAGCTACATAGTTCTTGTAATTTAGACAAAAGGTTAAAGCTTCTTCCGTTGGATTTATGTGTACATGAGGTGCTCTGAAGGGATCCCGCATGGACGTGTTTAGAAAGGTAGACAAGGTGAAAGGGGGGGGGGAAGCAATGGAGATCATGGGAAGAAGTGGTAAGACATTGGTAAATTTCTCAAAATCATTCTTCTGAAGGCCTAAGTTTATAGGTTAAAATGATATAGAAAGGAAAGACACAGGCCAGAGTTATATTAATATTATTTTGTGTAAATGTAGCTTAGTGTGGAATTTGGCCCAACATACCTTTTACCACCCAAATATAGAACATGTGACTTGGGCTACAAACAGAGATTAGACATAAACCTGTTTAAGTGATCAGAAACTGGTTTAAACCTGTAACAAAACAGATATTCAGTGCACATAAACCAGTCTGAAAATGGCTGAAACCAGTTTGAGATAAACTTGGTTGAAGGTAGTATCAGACTTAACTCATTTTGGGTCAAACCAGTTTATGCAATGTCTGTCCCAAACCCCTTACTGGTTTAACTTAAATCAGATTCCCCCAGCATTCCAGCATGCTCTCTTGGCTGTGTGGAGCTCTCTGCTCCACAGCAGAGCTGGCCCCTCCCCTCTGCTCCCTGGCTGGAGCTCCAGCAGAGACTTGCAGGCACAGCAGGGTCTTCCTGGCTTCCCCATGCCCTCTTCCCCTCCCTCTCAGCACTTGTTGCTTAAGCAGAGATCCCTTCCTCCTCTCTCCTAGCCAGCATGTGATATGCTGGCTAATGCTATGTGAGGGAGATAGGACAGTGTTCATTTAAGGCTTTCTAGAGCTAATCAACAGCTCAGCTAGTAATGTCTCTGCATTCCTTCCTTTGGAAAAAAGATGTTTAAGAAGAGCTTGAACTAATGAGAGCTTTGTTTTCTGATGGGGTGCTAAATGCAGATAATACAGCTGTTAAATGCTCTGTTATCAAGGAGGGTGGAGGACCCCTCCTTAATCACAGCACCATGTAGGGGCTCTGGCCATGCCCCCCCCAGCTCCGCCCTGTGGAAGGCAAGGGATGGCTGTTCTAGTGCCCCCTGGCTTCTAGCCTGAACCACTGCAGGCATGTGCTGGCATTTTTTTTCAGTCCACAGGGGACATCTGTGCAGTTGCAAAGTGATTTAGCCTAGCCAGGTTAGATTAACCTGGAAAGATTAAATCAATTCAGGCTCAGGTTTTATAAATGTCTGTCCCTAGCCTGAGGGTACACAGAGTTCCATAAAGGGTTTCTACCTGTAGGACATGCTACCTGCTTTAGTGAAATGGTCAGAGCCCTCCTGAAGTCTCTCATTTTCAAACATATAGATAAACACAAGGCAGTAAAAGTTTCCTGAGTCTCTGATTCATAGAGTCATAGATTGTTAGGGGCTGGAAGGGACCTCGCAGATCATTGGGTCCAGCCCCCCCACACACACATACTCTAGGGAGGAAGACAGCTGGGATCAAGTGAGCCTACCAAGGTGATTTTCCAGTCTCCTCTTGAAAACCTCCAGGGTAGGTGACTGCACCACCTCTGGAGGGAGTTTATACCACAGTCTGGACACCCTGACTGTGAAGGAGTTTTTCCTGGTATTAAGGAAAATACAGGAGTTTGTATCCATTGGTCCTGGTCTTCCCTAGGGGTGCCCTAGTGAACAGTTGTTCACCAAGCTTCTGATGCACTCCTGTGATATAGCAGTAAGTCACTATCAAGTCCCCTCTCAACCATCTCTTCTTTAGGCTAAAGAGACATAACTGGTCTAAGTTTCAAAGGATCTAAAGGATAAGGCCATAGGTTAGGTAAGAGCTTCTTCTCCTTGTATTTATACTTTGCCGGGGCACTGGGGTAGGGCGCACCTTGGGACTTAAAGTATTTATAATATAGTTTTAACAGCATATTTTGAAGGGAGAATAAAACCCTGGTAAATAAAATATTTTCCTTAAGGAAAATCTTTTCCCAAATCATATAAAATCATTTAAAGAGTGCACTAATTTCTTCTATGTGGGGTATTTGTTTGAAGTTGTTGAATTTGCCCCTTGGCTACCTTTAAATCTCATTTCTCATTCATTACCAACCTAAATTAAATCCACAATAAATTAAATCTTTAAACATTTTTGAGGGGGAGGGTGAACATGGCACTTGGCAGTCAACCAGGTTAGATACATGGCAGTCAGCCAGGCTCCAGGGAATAGTAGTTTTATTGAGTTATTTTTAGGAATCAGAAATACTTTTGCCAGTTCCACTCATCAGTCAATATCAAAATTTGAAGATGGCAAATAAATGCATAACATTGTAAAACAGGAGTGTAAGATTTTCAACACTTCTCCTTTATGCTTCATTCCCAGTTCAGGGAAAGGGAGGAAGTTCTTAGGCATGAGGCTTTTCTGTCCCAGAAAATGCATCCAAAATCTGATCGTTTCCTTCCTTGCAAATTCCTCCCTACAGCAGCTTCATCTTCATCTTCATTTTTCCTTCTCTATCCACAACATGACAAGCAATTATGCTATTACCAGAGATATAACTAGGAATTTAGATATCCTAGGCAGAATGCAAGGACCTGGGGAAGAGGGGACAGGGGCTGGTGCACTGCTTATCACACCCTAGTTACGTTCAGGGCTATTAGGATTTTCTCACTTTTCAGTCATTCTCCATCTGTATAACATGATCTATCAGCCACAGAAAGTCTGCAAGGAATGAGTGCATCAATGAAAAGCCCCAAACTGGTCAGGTTTGCCCATCACTATAGTGGCTCTGATGGAATATACTGGTGAAATGTAAACTAGTCATGAAACAGTCAAAATCACAAAGTTAAATTTGTTTGAAATTTAAAGCTTCTATGCAATGTCAAAATTTTCATGATTCAGCACATGTCCTA